TCAGGAGGGGGAGAAAGGCGGGGGACCTGAGGTTTGGAGCACAGGTTCCAGACAGAGGGGATGGGGGTCTGTGGGGCGGGGCAGTCTCAGGCTATCTGGCGGGGAGGGGAAAGGGGCGTATCCCTGGTCTTCCTCCCTCTGCACCCCCTCCCAGCTTCACGCTCCCATCTGGATCGTTCCTGGAACTTTCCCTGTCTCTGGGTTGGTCCTTTGCAGACCCCAACCCCCACCCCAGACAGGCAGGATGCCAAGGGCAGCAGGTGTTGGATCTGAGGGGGAGGGGCAGGGCGCTCTGGCATGGAAGCTACGCTCAGGGGAAGTCCCTGGTCTTCCTCCCTCTGCACCCCCTCCCAGCTTCACGCTCCCATCTGGATCGTTCCTGGAACTTTCCCTGTCTCTGGGTTGGTCCTTTGCAGACCCCAACCCCCACCCCAGACAGGCAGGATGCCAAGGGCAGCAGGTGTTGGATCTGAGGGGGAGGGGCAGGGCGCTCTGGCATGGAAGCTACGCTCAGGGGAAGATCGATGGCTTCTGTCAAGGAGGAGCCAGCCTGGCACAGCTCACAGCGGCCGGTGGGAGGGGCAGGGCGGGGCTCCATTAGGAGGATGGGCAGGGACCCTGGAGTCTGCACCCATCTGCGATGTCGTACCAGGCATCCAGGTGTTAGATGTGGAGCCTACCCAGCTCTTGGTGAACGAGAAACACCAAGCTGCATGTAGGATCTTGCTGTGCCTGGTCTAATCTCTTCTGTTCCTGTAACCTGTGGACTAGGACCCCCCTCAGTGTGCTAGGCACTGTACATTTGTATTGCTACTCGGTGAATTACGGTAGCACCTGGGTACCGCAGCATCGGACCCAGTCAGGCGTGTACAGGCACAGAACAGAAAGGGGATCCCATTCTATTGTTGAGTCATGTCGATCGTTTACTAATTTCCATTTGCTCTGTCATGTTTTGACATGATCAGATCTGTTCCCCTGGCTCATTTCGAAGTTTCCGCATTGGCGTGTTTGGAAGTGTTACTTCATGAACTATTTCAAATGTTCAGCTTTTGGGACGCTGCCCAACGGCCAGATTTCCTGCGAATTTCAGTTCTGGGAGTTACAAGGGTGGTTCCCTCCATTTGCAGATTTGAGTGAGACTGCACTTGCCTAGTGGTTAGAGCAGTGTAGAGGGACTAGGAACCAGGACTCCTGGGTTCTTTCTTCAGCTTTGGGAGGAGAGGTTGGTGTGTGGTTAGAGCAGGGGGGACTCCCGAGTTCTATTCTGGCACTACTGCTGGCCGGCTGTGGCCTCCCTCTGTGTCTCAGTTTCCCTCCCTGTAAAATGGGAGTAATGATCCCTCACAGGGGATTCAGACACATCTATGCCGAGTTCTGAGCTCGCCAGGTGATGGTTGCCGAGTTGCAGCACGATTGACTAACCCTGAGTTCAGTGGAAATTAAAGGGCAGGCCTGCTTAGACCCACATGCCCCTTCCGTGACGCTGATCATCCCAAGAGCTCTGAGGACAGGAAGGACTGCCTCCTCCCAACACCACCCAGGATTTGGTTCAGTATTATACACCCCATGTTAAGATAGGGAAACTGAGGCACAGAGCAGCGAGGGGACTCGCCCAAGGTCACTGAGTGAGTCAGTGGGGGAGCTGGAAGGAGACCCAGGATTCCTGTAGGTCCTGATTCCTAGCCTCCTTCCCCATCTTAAATATGAGCTAGTGTGCCTTCCCTCCTCCTCCAGCGCCCCCTACTGGGAAAGGCTGGGACAGGAGTAGCTGGGAGCTCCCCACAGTGCCCCCTGCTGGGAGAATCTGTCACTTGACACTGTATCTGGATTGTGGAAGAGCTAAATTGATCTCAAGCCAAGGCATCTTTGGGGTCCCCTCTCCATTTCCACCCCGAGATTCCAGACCCTATGGTGCTTGTTGATTTCAGCAAAAGTTAGGGTTGCCAGGTGTCCGGTATTGAACCGAACAGACCGGTATTTTTGCTTTCTGTCTGGTAAAAAAATTCAGAAAATACACGACATCTAAAATATCTGGTATTTTTGGATTTCCCGGGCGGGACCTGGCGTGGCTCCCTGCGGAAGGCCGCTTGGGACATGCAGCACAGCCCCATGCTGGTTCCCAGTGGTGCCTGGTGACAATGGGTGGAGTGGTTGGGGAGCATCCTGGCACTTAAAGGGGCCGCGACTGCATTTTGGCCACGGTCAGTTCCATCACTTTCCTTTTTTTTTCTCTCAACATATTTTTTCCCAGCGTGGCTTTTTTTTTATTCAGTATTTTTTGGGAAACCTTCTGGCAACCCCAGCAAGAGCGGAAGGGCTCTCAGCACCGCCCAGGAGGCACTTGGCTCTAGTCAGAGTAGGGGGGACTTGGCACCCAACAGGATCAAATTCTACATTTGATCACCTACAGAGGAGCTGGCTTTCCATCTGGCTATGGGTGAAATGGACCCAAGAGACACCCACATGCCAGCTGTGGGGGGTGATGGGGTGGAGGGAGACACACCCTGCCCCATTACCAGTGACGGCAGAAGGGGTCCCAGGGTTGCAGAGGGCTAGATTCTGTCTTGCAATGGGGCGGGAGGGCTGTTCCCAGAACCTGAACTGCTTGTTAAGGGGGAAGGATCCAGGGGATCCAGGGATGGGATGAAGGCAGGGGTCTCCTCAAAAGTTAATCCATCCCGGGCTCCAAGGGTCTCATGGAGACTGGGAGGGGAGGAGGGTTATTACGAACCTGGCTCAGGTCCCCAGGGATCAGACAGCGCATCAGGTGGTGAGTCATGGCCGGAAGCTGAGACCTGCCTGTCAGGCCTTGGGACTAGTGATGAGTCTGTTGCTATTGCTCTGACAGCGGAAGGTGCTCAGACGTTACGGTGATGGGCTGCAGTGACATACAACACGAAGGCAGATGTGCTTGAGATTCTCTCTCAGCACTTCAGCCTCTCCTGCCCCTCCTCCAACCAGAGGGGTATGAATCCTATTTTACAGATGGGGAAACTGAGGCACCAGGAAAGGCTGTGATTTATTTGCCTGATAGGGCAGGCAGCCAGCCAGCGAGAGAGCCAGGAATAGAATGCAGTTGTCATAAGTCCATTTCCAGCCCCTCCCCTTCCGGTGCTGGAGCGAGACCTGGGCAGCCTGTGTCTCATTTTTGTCTGCTTGAAAGATTAGAGAAACTCCCTGCCAAAGTGGGGAACAGAACCCAGGAGTCCCTGCTGAGTTCTCCCACCCTGCTCCTTGTGGCACAGCGCCCCCTAGCGCGCTTCTGGGGCCACACTGACTGCCAGGGCAGAGCACCCCCTATGGACCCCCACCCTGCTCCCTCTGGCACAGCGCCCCCTAGCGCGCCTCTGGGGCCACACTGACTGCCAGGGCAGAGCACCCCCTATGGACCCCCACCCTGCTCCCTCTGGCACAGCGCCCCCTAGCGCGCCTCTGGGGCCACACTGACTGCCAGGGCAGAGCACCCCCTATGGACCCCCACCCTGCTCCCTCTGGCACAGCGCCCCCTAGCGCGCCTCTGGGGCCACACTGACTGCCAGGGCAGAGCACCCCCTATGGACCCCCACCCTGCTCCCTCTGGCACAGCGCCCCCTAGCGCGCCTCTGGGGCCACACTGACTGCCAGGGCAGAGCACCCCCTATGGACCCCCACCCTGCTCCCTCTGGCACAGCGCCCCCTAGCGCGCCTCTGGGGCCACACTGACTGCCAGGGCAGAGCACCCCCTATGGACCCCCACCCTGCTCCCTCTGGCACAGCGCCCCCTAGCGCGCCTCTGGGGCCACACTGACTGCCAGGGCAGAGCACCCCCTATGGACCCCCACCCTGCTCCCTCTGGCACAGCGCCCCCTAGCGCGCCTCTGGGGCCACACTGACTGCCAGGGCAGAGCACCCCCTATGGACCCCCACCCTGCTCCCTCTGGCACAGCGCCCCCTAGCGCCCCCTTTGGGGGCCACACTGACTGCCAGGGCAGAGAGCCCCTTTCTGACTCCCACCCCTCTCCCAGCGGCACAGCGCCCCCTAGTGCCGCACTGGGCCCACACCACTTGTTTGCAGCCAGGGGCTGCCAGGGCAGATCTGCAAATGCCTTTCTCCAGGCTCTGCCTCTGCTCCATACGCCAGAGCTTCGCTAGAAACTCTGCCTGGGAGGCACAGCCCCCGGCTGACAACCCGTCATCGCGTCCCACCTCCTCTCGCTGGGCTGCAAGCCGGCGCCAGGCAAAGAGCCTTTGTTACCAGGCAGCTGATGGCAGCTGCTCGCTTGTTGGGAGCTGCGAGGCGCTGCGCTCGCTCAGCTCCTGTTGCGTTGCCCCCCCGGCCCGCCTCCCCAGGACGCCTGTTAAAAATAGGCTTTCACTGGCGCCCTACACCCGCACAGGAGAAGGGGAATGTGGCGTGCATGTGCGCGTGTGCATGTGTGTGTACGTGTGCATGAGTGTGCACGTTTGTGTGTGTGCATCTGTGTACGTGTGTGCGTGTGCATGCATGTGTGCACATGCACATGAGCATGTAGGTGTATGTGTGGGTGCATGCATGTGTTTGTGTGTGCATATGAGTGCACGTGTGTGCATTCATGTGTGTGTAGCCGTGTGTGCGTGCGCACGTGTAAGTATGTGTGTGCATGTGTGGTCATATGAGTGCATGTGTGTGCGAGTGCGTGTATGTGTGTGTGTGTGATATTTGGCAAATCTCTCCATACATTAGCAGAGGGGAGGCAACAGCTGAGCTTCTTGGTGTAACAGAGGCAGTGGGGGGAGCTCATTCTGATCTAGCAGTGAGGGGCAGGGGACTAGGGTTCCAGCCCGGTTCTGACCCCTCAGTGGTGCGGGTTCCAGGGCTTGGCCCATGCCATATTGGGGGAGGAAGGGGGGTGAAACTGAATGAAAAAAATAAAACATCAGCTGAGAGCAATGGAAGACAAACACAGAGCGGGTGTGACATGCGCGCTGAGGAACAATGGAGGGTGTAGGAGATTTGGACTCATTTCCTGGCTCTGCTGTCCCCTCCCTCGGTGACAATGGAGCAGTTCCTGCAGAGCTCTGTGCCTCAGTTTACCCATCTGTAAAATGGAAAGACTAGCCCTTCCTTTGTCTGGTTAGCTCTTTGGGGCAAGGACTGCCTCTTACTTTGTGTCGGGGCAGTGCCTGGCACAGTGGGGTCCTGGTTACGTCTGGGTGTGGGCAGCGCCTGGCACAGTGGGGTCCTGGTTACGTCTGGGTGTGGGCAGCGCCTGGCACAGTGGGGTCCTGGTTACGTCTGGGTGTGGGCAGCGCCTGGCACAGTGGGGTCCTGGTTACGTCTGGGTGTGGGCAGCGCCTGGCACAGTGGGGTCCTGGTTACGTCTGGGTGTGGGCAGCGCCTGGCACAGTGGGGTCCTGGTTACGTCTGGGTGTGGGCAGCGCCTGGCACAGTGGGGTCCTGGTTACGTCTGGGTGTGGGCAGCGCCTGGCACAGTGGGGTCCTGGTTACGTCTGGGTGTGGGCAGCGCCTGGCACAGTGGGGTCCTGGTTACGTCTGGGTGTGGGCAGCGCCTGGCACAGTGGGGTCCTGGTTACGTCCAGGTGTGGGCAGCGCCTGGCACAATGGGGGTCCCCGATATTGTTTGAAATCTGTGCAGCACCCACGGCAATCAGTCTTGACTCCTGATCAGGCAGCTGAACACAGGAGCTACCAGACTGGGTCAGAATCAAAGCTCTCTAGCCCGGTCTCCCGTCTCGGATAGCTCCCAGCACCAGATGCACTGGGGGACAGGTGTAAAAGCCCTGCAGTAGCAAGCACAAGACAGACTGCCCCTCAATCATCTCCCACCCAGAGCAGCTAATGCCTGAAGCAGGAGGCTTCTCCTCCTGCCTGCCGGGCCCTGGATTGGCGCCTGCGCAATGAATCGTTTCCAGAGAAGGAACAGAACCCAGCGGAACTCTTTCTGGGCTGAGCTTTCAGACCGTTGAGTTCCGGGGACGACTGTGAAGGACCCAGCGAGACAGAGAACTAACGAGCGAAAGCAAATGGGCGTTACGCTGGAACCAGCCCTGGCTTGATGCTCGCCTTGCGAGAGGGAATGGTCATCCGGGCCCGGTGAGGAGGATGCACAGAGCACCCCGATGGCAGATGTGGGCACTACTGTAAAACTGGGGCACCCCCCTTTGCTCAGTCAATTATAATGACCCCTCTTAATTAATTCATGCTGCCTTTTACCAGATCTCTAGTTTGGCTGCTGCGTTTCATTTCTGGGCCCCCGATAACATCTCTCCCGGCTCTCATCAAACCTTGTTCGAATTGTCATTTGTGTGGATGCAAAATCTGTGTCGCTCTGGTTCCCCAAATTCTCCTACGACAGCTGCCGAAACAAATCCACATTTACCACCTGTCCCAGGCCAGGCCTCGCCTCGCGCCTGCTAATCCCCCGTGTTCACATTCAGCTTTAATTATCTGGAGCCGAAAACCCTGTGCTGAGCTTCCATGGCCCCATAGGCCACTCTGCCTTCTTAGCCAGATTGCTTACACCCCGGCAAATCCTTGTCCTTGGCCACTCTGCCTTCTTAGCCAGATCGCTTACACCCCGGCAAATCCTTGTCCTTGCTCAGGGTCTGATCCCTCTTTGATTCATGCCTGCCCTAGGAGGCAGCACCTTGGGGGCGGTTGTCAGCAGCAGGGCTGGGACCTGGGACTTCAGAATCTTAATGCGTGAACCTCTCCGACCTGAGCGAAAAGCCCCCGCCCAATTAACCACGGCTGAAGCAGGTCCCACCCCCCGGCTGTGCCCACCACTAGAGGAGGAAAAAGTGTCACTCCGAGGCAGTGTTGGTTCCATTAAGCTCTCACTCTCAGTGTCATCCAGTGGCAGTGAGTTCCACAGGCTAACGCTTCCCGTGTCAAGCGCGCTCCTGCTGCTGCGATCAGTCCCAACGCCTGTGCAGGAGTGAGGAGACAGGTTCCGCCCTGTCCCAGCCTTCCTTCTTGCGCCCGGGCAGTGTTACAGGCTTTTCTCTCCTTCCCCTCTGATTCATGTCTCTTTCAGTTTCACTTCTTATAGGGTTCTTTAGGCACCTGGTCTTTCTCCATCTGTCCAGGACAACCCCCCCACCCCCATCTATCCCTTTCACCCCAATCACTCCCTCTCCATCTCTCTCAGGACCCCCCTTCCTTCATCTCCCGGACATCTCTGGTCATTCTCCATCTATCCAGGATAACTCCTCCCATCCATAAATAAATGCCAGTCCCTTCTAGCCCTGGAGCCTGTGCTGAACTATCCAACCAATAGGATTCATAGAGGGGAGGCTAGGGACTCCGATGGAGAGTTTTCCTGCAGCCTAGGGGATTTAGACACCTCCCCCATGAGCAATGGGTTGAGGGAACATGATGGATTGGAAAACTCAGCTTCCCTCTGCCTCTGGCAGGCCTCTGGACGCTAGTGTGGCCTCTCTTCATTGCTTCCTGCAGGTGATCCAGGGGAGGGCATAAGCAGAGCCTGTGACCTGCGTGTTCCCAAGGGTGTGTGCCCTCTGCCAGGGAGCCAGGATGGCAGCCAATGGCCCAGCAGGGAACGAGTCGCAGGAGACACAGCGCCGTGTGGATCATGTCACGGACGAGGTGAGCAGGGAGCAGGGAGGCTGGCTCTAGCATCCCTAGGGCACCTGGCGCTGGGGTGGGCATGTGACTACCCTACCGCGGAAACTGAGGCACAAAGAAAGGAAGTGACTTGGGCAAGGCCATGTTGCAAGTCAATGGCAGAGTCCCGGCTCCAGCCTGCTTGCGCTAACCACTAGACCCCACTCCTCTCCTGAAGCTGGGGAGAGAACCCAGGAGTCCTAACTCCTAGCCCTGCTTGCCCTAACCCAGCAGTACCCATTCCTAGAGCTGGCGATGGGAGCTGGGGGGGTTGTCAGCTGGGGAAGCGGCAGCTCCCTACTAGGTGCTGTGGGGCGCACCCCTGAAAGGCCCCTGGGAAGCAGCTGGCGCCGCCCAGCCTTGTTCCCTTTTCAGCCAGAACAATGGGCTCTGCCGAGCAGGCGCTGTATCCACCCCTCCCAGGGCAGCCTGCGTGCAGGGCAGGAGCCAAGAGATTTCGGGAGGGGGGGGCTACACCCCGGCAGGACCACAGGTGTCAGGGAGCTCGTTTCAGGGGGCCAGGCGGGGACAGATTCAGTGAGCACAGGGCAGAGGCATCCCTGGGTCTCTCAATGCCTAGCCCAGAGGGACGGATTATTACAGTGACAGTCACACAATGGAAATCAGGGCCCGTCGGGCTGGGCGCCACCCAGACACGCCGGCTACGTCTACACTGGCCCCAAATTCCGGAAAAGGGATGCAAAGCAGGTAAGTCAGCATAGGGAAATCCGCAGGGGATTTAAATATCCCCGCGGATTTAAATAAACATGGCCGCCGCTTTTTTTCCGGCTTGGGGAAAAGCCGGAAAAGAGCATCTAGACTGGCGCGATCCTCCGGAATAAAGCCCTTTTCCAGAGGATCTCTTATTCCTACCTGAAAGTAGG